CCCTCTGGTCCAATAGATTGGACTGGATTGGACAAGGGTGGTCCAATGTCCAGATCCAATGTTCAGGCCCAACACTGACATTAAATTATAATAGTATTCGTTAAATAATTTTGAATTTTTCAATTTTATCTAATCGTAAATTTATTATGAATTCAAGCTATTTTTTTTTTTTTTTTGTTAATTCGCGTTTTATAATTTTATAAACATTTATAAATGTTAATCTTTGCTAAACTATCCTTAGTACGAATATGATGTTAAATAACCTGATTTTAAAATGATCTCAGTCATCAAATAATGATCCTGTAATCAAGGTCATTTAGATCATTGCTTATAGAAAAATCACTTTATGATATATTACTTTCCTAATCAACGATCAACGATCGCTATATAACCTTAGGTTAAAGTCTAATAAATACATATCCGATATATCCTGAAATTTAAATAATTTTACATTCGAATTTTACGTTTGCGCGAAAAAGTTTAAGCTTTTCGTGTAAACATAAAACGCGAAAATGAATTAATAGAAAGTTATTTAATCTGAGATATTCCAAGTCATTTACCGTAACTGCTTCACAGAATCGATAAGACTGTAAACTGTAAAGTAAAATATCAAAAACCAAGAATTATAATCATTCAAGATACCCATATAATAATAATATTCCGAGTCATTGAGTTGTCCATTTGTACATATATTAATTCATTAATTTCCCTCGATCTTTATTAAACAGATATACTATAGATTTATATGCAATACCTTCCAAATATTATGTTATATGATGATAAGCTAGGCTAAGCTTTATTGTATCAAAGTACAGGTTTCATTTCTCATTACAAATTAATAAATCAATAGAATAGCATATAAGAAATATTAATGATATTAGTATAATTTAAGGGCAACCATCTTTTCCACAAGCATCAGCGTCTTTAGTTGACGTATCAGCATCTTTAGTTGACGTATCAGTATCTTTAGTTGACGTATCAGTATCAGTAGTTGCTTTTTTCTTACTATCAGAATGGCCAAGATTCATATCCGGTGCGATCTTATTCCTGATAAGTTGTTTCTTATATCAAATTAAGCAATAAAATGCGAAACTTTTTAATCAATTGAAAATTAATAAAAAATGACAAGAAATTTTGTTAAATTTTAATTTACCAATTCTTTTAATTCCGGAAATCGACCTTCTTTCTTACGATCCCAGATAGTTTCTGAACAATCAATAAATAATATTTAGATAAACTGTCTTATTTAATCAGATAGAAAATAAAATAATATGTTTAATAATCAACCTCCATCAATTTGAACTATGAAGACTGCATTGACACCAGGTATTAAAGCAACTTCACCAATAATCGTACCGAATGTTACCAACAATTCTTGAGCTGTCCATCCAGCACGAAGGACCCTTTATTAAAACAAAAAATGCCTTATTTGAAAATCCATAAACAACTTAATTAAATCGACAAGATGAATAAACTTACCAACGGCATTGAGTACAATATTCTATTGAAATGCGAGGTGAACGAGGTTTTACATTTTCCTGTTTAGTGTTTTCAGTTAGAGATAATTTTTCTATCGATGAAATGATGGCGGAAGTTTGCTCAGATGACATTTTTTAATCATAGTATTTAGGGACTGTTGCATATTTATTAATTGGGTACGTACGTACGTAATCTCATTACAGTATTTAACCAAAATTATAACTTAGTGTAACAAAAAAATTAACGATACACGTTAACGTTACGTAATCGTTGTGTTACAATCTATAGTAATACGTACATGTAGTTCGTTTAGTTTAGGCCACGCAAAGTAAATTTTTCGTTTTGCATTACATGGATTTCAAAATCAACGGTCGGTCGGTCGGGGGGTTTTTTTATAATATACAGTAATTAATAGACCCATATTTAAGGCCACACACACATAGTTAATTTTTCGCTTTGCATAACATGGAATCAGAAAATCGGGTCAGCAATCAAATTTTATTTTATCAGTTCTGTCGGACAATTCCGGAAAGATAATGTCTCTATCGGGTGGTACCGGATTAATTTATGGGAAAAAATTAATTGGCAATTGAAACTTAAAAAAAAAAAAAAATCGAAAAATTGAAAAAATGGGTCGGCGGGTAATGCAAAACGAAAAATTAACTTTGTGTGGCCTTATTATCGATCGAACTAATACTAAAGGGATAAAAAAATATAATGAAACCTTTGACATATAGACTAGATAACAAAATTTATCAATAATTACACTATGCTAATCTACTTTGTACTCTGTTACGTATACGTAAAATTTATATTACTTTTTTTAGAAAAAGTCTCGAAATCAAATGCATAACTTTATAATTTGAATATGATTTTACATAATACGTAAAGGTTAACTTTTTATATTAAATTGCAAAAAACTTTTATATAATGTTTAATTTAAAAAATGATATATATAGATATATAGATTTAAGTAACTTTTGATATGATCTATCAAATTATTTTTAGCTTTTTATTAAGTCTTTAATATTTAAAAAAAAGCAACTTTAAAATTTCAGCACTAATATAAAAAAAAAAAAATCAAAAGTTGGAATGTCAGAAAAGCGTGTAATTTCACTTCAACTACTGGCGTTGCTTGGTCTTCAAGCACGGGATTAAAGACTCTACAAGAAATTGATCATCTCGGGGTATAAGCCCGTTGGGTTTCGTAAAACAATGATCATATATTCTGCCGATTAATACGAAATAAATTGCTTATCTCTTCCGTGTACGAACTGATAAACTCTGAGAGTTTACTGTAAGTATTATCAACATGTTTTATTTGGGTTAAAAATTTATTTTTTTTTCAGATGAGTTTTGATCTACTTTGTATATCAGAATTTGGATAACTAGTGGGATGATTGGTATAGAGAAGATTGAATTCGAAATTATGTAAAGCTGATTAAATGTTCCTTCTTTCTTAAATTATATACATAAAGATTACGTAAACCTTATCGTTAAGTCTATTAAAGTGGTGACCAATGATCGAATGTCTGAAACTTGGATCCCACCCTGAGACTACAGCGTGCCACATGACACCATAGAGTATTCCATGGGTATATCGAGTACTTTATGTGAAATATCATCATAATAATAACGTGCATCAATATCTTTATTAGAAAAAATAGATCTGATATTTTGAGGCATCTTCAAGTCGACTATATTGTTCCCATCATTATGATCATGTATTTTAAAGGTATATTTTTGAATATTAGAATAAATAATCGTTATACCAGTAAATCTCACTGGCCCTCGAAATTCTATTACTTCTCAATACTTAAAGTCTTGTAATGAATATATCCATTCGTCTTCCTTTTCCTGAATATTTTTATCTTATCATCAACAAAAATATTTGAATCTTGAAGTTGTATGGTGCTTTCGTTTCATTAGTCATATCAGTTTTATATTAAATGTGACAATATCTGTGTTGAAATCACCTATGACTAACAAAATTGGATCTTGCAGCAATTCAATAGGGGTTTTTTTTTTCTATTCTTCTGGCAATATCAATATTTCTTTCTGAACTCTTTTTATTAATTAAATTTGTAGTGTCCTGAATTATTTTTATGGTTTTTCATCTAACTAATTAGTATTGTGATTGTTAAAGTCTCCGCATGAGGCAGTGTGCATGTTGACATGTGGGTAGAAGCCTCTGATGTCATAAAGTAGGTTCAAAACGTGTTCTCTTTCATATTGATCAAAATGTATAAAAAGTGAAGCACTTATTTTAATAAACAAAAGATCCTCGTTCCATCATAAAGTAACATGGTTATAATGATTTTCTCTCATTAACGTTAAGTTCACACGTCACCATTATAGAATCACTACGCCCTTAGAAACCTCGTATCATTCAATCCACATAACTTCTAGTAGCGGTTCCCTCTTGTGGCAATTCGGTGGGGTTTATTTTATTTTATTTTTCTATTCTTTTCGTAATATTAATATTTCTTTTTTTTTTATTACTCAAATTTACGCTGTTTATTTTTCTTATATTAGCATTGATTTTTTAAACTTTTATATTTGTAGTGTCTCAATTTGTCAAATAGTATCTTTTCTTACCATACTGACCAAAAACTTTGTAGTGATCATTGTGTATGTATTCTTTTCTAATTTAACAATATTAATACTTCTAATTTTTTTATATTTGCGGTTTCCTAATGGCTCAGCCTGTAAAAATAGCAAGTGTACTTGCCCTACCGGCCAAAAATTTTGTGGCAATCATTTCGTAGACACCAAAACTGATAATTCAAATTGTGTAAAGTGTAAAACTGCTGTATGCATTCTTTTCTATAATCTAACAATATTTAGCATTACTTTCTATATAACTTAGTTTTAACTTTCATATTTTGTCGTGTCCTGATGATTTTTCTCAACCTTGTCAATAAATGCTTAGGCTTTCTGAAAATGCTTTTTATTGATTTCTGTGTATTTTTATAATGGAGTCTTGAAATAGCTATAAAAATAAGTACTTGTGATTGGTTGCTTCGCATCCAGTAACTATATATTATTTTTTTAGAGTATTGCGACCTGAAGATTATGATGACTTTATTATTATTATGACCTGAATATTTTTTAAATACTTTATGATCTGAATATTGTTAAATAATTGATTGACTTGAAAATTTTTTTAATTATAACCTGAATTTTGAATACTTTACAACAACCTGAAAATGAACATTATTTATGACCTGAATATTATGATGATTTAAGATAATTTTATTTACATTATGGCCCAAATATTTTTAAATTTATGACCCGAATTTAATTATTTGACATTTTGCTCGCAACCTTTTGACGAATAATGACTAACCAATCACAAAAAAATGTTCTATAGATGTTAAACCATGAGAACTTCAATTTCACCAGAATATATCTTGGTAATTATTTATGCTTATTTAATCTAATTTAATTATACTTTATTGTAGTATTTCTATATTTTGATTATTTGATTTTAATTTAAAGAAGAAAATGTCATTATCTTGAATATTCAAAAATGACAATGTCGTGTTTTTACAAAGGGCATTTTCTAATACTATTCCATCTAATAACCCAAGATTATTTTTTGCAAGATTCAGTGAAGTCAGAGCGGTGTTTTTATAAAGTGTATTTGATAATGCTTTTAAACCTTCTGATCCAAGATTATTATTCTGAAGTTCCAAAGAAGTCAGTGTGGTGTTCTTGCAAAGTGCATCTGCTAATGCTTTCCCTCCTTCTGAACCAAGCTTATTATTACCAAGATTCAAATAGGTCAGCGTGGCGTTCTTGCAAAGTGCATCAGCTATTGCTTTTCCTCCTTCTGATCCAAGTTTATTATGACTAAGATTCAAAGAAGCTAGCGTGGTGTTTTTGCAAAGTGCTTTTGCTAATGTTTTTCCTTCTTCTGATTTAAGCTTATTCGATTTAAGATTCAAAAGAGTCAGCGTGATGTTATTACAAAGTGCATTTGCTAATGCATTTCCTCCTAATGATCCAAGGTTATTATCCCAAAGTTCCAAGGAAATCAGTGTGGTGTTCTTACGAAGTGCACCTGCTAATGCCATCCCTTCGAATGGTCCAAGTTTATTACGACCAAGGTTTAAAGAGGTCAGCGTAGCGTTCTTGCAAAGTGCATCTGCTAATGCTTTCCCTCCTTCTGAGCCAAGTTTATTACGACTAAGATTCAAAGAGGTCAACGTGATGTTCTTGGAAAGTGCATATCCTAATGCCTTTCCTCCTTCAGCTCCAAGATTATTATTATCAACATTCAAGTTTTTCAGTGTGGTGTTCTTGCAAATTACCCTTATTAACTCTCTTATTTTATCCAATCCACATTTATTTGAAAGATCCCAGGTTGAAGCACTTTCTTGATCTTCAGCACTATGCAAGTAGTTTCCGAGAATTTCTTCGTAAAGATCTGATGCTTTAAGAAACTTGCCTTGTTCGAAACATTCATGTGCTTCCTTTTTCATATTCTCAAGAAATTTAATTTTAATTGAAGTTGCGACAGAAGCGTGGTTTTCACACGATACAACACTATTTCTTGGGCCCAATACGGTGTCTATGATTTTACGGGGAGGTAAAATAATTGAAGTAATAATTCTGTCTGGAGCTGCCAATTTTATCATAATATCTCTCCATAAATTAGGTTCAAATATTTGCTGATACGGATATAGCTTATCCACAATATCTTCACCAGTAATTTGAAAGTATCGGATATGCGACATGCAATTTTTGAGTGTAGTTTTTAAAGTTAAAAAATTTACGTTAGACCACTGCATGGGATTAGAACCAAGGTCTGGATTTTGAGCAATTCCCCATCTAATGACCTGATCCCAAAGTTTTCCTTCATTCATATTTAAGTTGTCAAGCTTTAAAAGAGAGATCAAAGCTTTTTCCGAAATATTCACATAATCTTCAGAATCAAAAATAACACTTGGGTGCTTAGCAATAATATCATTGCAGAACTTTTGTAAAGCTTTGAAATCATCACTTTCAAAACTTATTTTATAAACTTTAGCAAAATTTCGACGTATCCATGACGCATGATTCTTAACCAATTGTTCTTGTATAGTATTTTCCAATTCTTCAAGTCCAAATTCATTTGCGGTAGTTAAAAGATCAAGGATTGTAGATGCATCAACATCATTGAATAGTATGATTCCACCATAAATATATCTATTTGCGTCAAAAAAAAATAAAAACAATTAAAACGTATTTAATGATTATAAATTTTATGATAATATCGTAAAAACATACTTAATAATGATTTCAAAAACGGCAATAGAAATATTTGGGGTACTGATTTTTTTAATATTCTCTTTATTGTAAATTGATTTGGACAGCTTTTCGCGAAGATAAAAACATCGAGAGTTCAAAATTAATGAATGAGCCTTAAATATTTGATGGTTCGGCATTTTACCGACTTCAATTAGTACATTATAATCTTCACCATTTTCAAGAAGTTTTGTTAAATCGGTGGAAAGTTTTTTAAAGAACTCTATAGCCATTTAAGCAGAAAAAGCAAGAATAAAAGTTGAAAGGATGAAAACTAACAGCAAATTTTACGGTTATCAATTAAATTATGTATAGAATGATCAACAACTCATTACTTCATAATTATATAATAGTAGTAGTATGACATTACTTCATAATTATATAATAGTAGTAGGATGACATTACTTCATAATTATATAATAGTAGTAGGATGACATTACTTCATAATTATATAATAAACTTTTCGATGATCATATTGAAAGCTAACTGAATTGATGGCAATTCAAATAATACATAGATAATGTTTATATTCTTAATCAATTTGTGAATTGATGACAAATTAATAATTATATTGTCTAGCTAAAAAATGCAATTGTATGTTTTAATAGTTGCAATTTTTGTAAGAAATCCTATCTATCATTAGTAACTAAGATCCATTTTAAAATTAGTATTAACGATCATAGATATTTATTTATGTCAATAAAATCAATTAAGGCTCTTTAAACAATTCGATATAAAATTCAATTTACCGGCCGATACAGTTTTTTTTGATATTATTTAACCAATTCTGCGATGTATTATTTTTTTTTAAAAAGCACTCTCGAAATTTTGTCGAACGTAATCATAAATTTTTTAACTCGCGAGTAATTATTATTGTCGAAAAGCATCGTGTCACACGTTTTTTATACTGGATTTATTTGGGCGATGCCGGCATGTACTATTTAGGCCGGAGATGACTTTATTGAATCTGTTAAACGTCAGTGTGGTACATGATATAAGTTATAGGCCGGTACGGCAAGGACAACCCGAGAAACTTGCAATAATCATTGCGCTGGGTGTCGCCGCAGGAGTACTGAGCCGGTGGATTCCCGCTTTGCTGACGCAAGCCGGCTGAGAACAGAGAGCACACGAGGAATGCGAGCGGAGGAATGGTAGGATCACGTGGTTGTCCATTGGGTAGGTTGGGTGGGTCGAGAAAGTATTTGGATCGGGTTTCCAGTATTTTCGGTCCCCGCTATTTATGCGTTATTGTCTTTTCTTCGCCGTGGGCTATGCGTTAAAAGGCATATGTCATTGCATCATCTGCATATGATCTTTTGCCTTTAATCAGTTTCCTTTTGAGTTGTGGCACCGGCTTCGATCGGTAGCTCTGCAGCGTTCACGTGTGGCTAGTGATGTGCCGCGTACAGTACTGTACCAGTCGATAACTACCCCACCAAAAAGTTACAAAGTTACTGACACGTGATTGTAAACCAATCAGATCTCAAGAACAGGTGTAACGTAACACGATCAGGAAATTCAAAACAAACAAAAATCGCTTATAACTCAAAAACCTGCATAGGAAACCAACCTTTAGTGCATTAACAAAAAGTTTTCCTTGAGCGATTTTACTATTAAAACCCATCCAATCCTAACCTTAGCATATACCCTAACCCTAACCTAAACGAATTTAAAGATTTTTTGGTTTGCCGCAAATACGGTCACGTGTCCGTAACTTTTTGGTGGCGATACTGGGAAGATGCTTTAGACGGTCCCCAAATGTAGTTATTGAAAGCTACACAATATAAATATTCACAATTTTTTCATATTTGACAAATTTGATATCAGTATTGATTATTATGATTAGCTGGCTGATAAATTATCAACCAGCTAGAATCTAAACGACTACTTAATCGGCTGAAGCTAATTTACCAGCTCTTACCAATTTGGCCGGTTTACTTTCATTTAAAATATCATTCAATGTGTATTTATATTCATCATTAAGTTCAATTAACATATCATTTTTCGTAAAATAAATGACATTAGTAATTTTTATCATAACATTATACTCAAGTTCCTTTCGTACTACATCCAATTCTGATATCTTTCTTAATTTCGCTAAAAGCTTTAGCATTATCAATTTCAACAATGATTTCATACCACAAGATTTATTTTCATCTAAAATATCACTTAGTTTATAGTAATACCATTATTAAGGTTAAATTAATGTACCGTTTTTCGTAAAATGAACGTTTTTATCAGTTATCTGTTATATTATTTTGCGTACGTACTTTATCCAATCTTGATTTCTTTTTTAACCAATAAAATTTTAATATTATCAATTTCAACAATGATATTCACTTCAAGGTCTTTGGTTACTTCAAATGAAAGATTTCATTTTCATATGATATATCTAGGGTGGTTGGCAAGCTGGCAACCACGTGCCATTTTGGCAAGGCAACAATGGCAAGGTATGGCAGGCAAAGAAAATGATTTTGGCAAGATGGCAAGATGATATTATTATAATAGTATAAAGTATATATATATATATATATATATACTTTATAATACTATTATCTTATATAATATAGAAGTCTAATAAACTTAGTATTAAAATTTTGATTTGATGCAAATTTTAATTTGTTAAATAT